TCCGCCCTCCGCCCCCCTACCCCGGCCTAGGCCTGCCAGGACACAGGCTGGCTGCTCACCTCTGCTCTGCGCTCGCTGCTGCAGCTGTTCTTGACAAGATGGAGCCAGAATCTCTGGGGCTCAGATCCGAACCCAGCTGCTCCTGATTTCAGCCAGGTGCTTTGGTGCATTTCTCTCACTCCAGGGAACGAAGCAAAGGGGGGTGAGCAAAGAAAACTTCCCTTGTTCCCTCACGCCTGGCTAGAGAGGGGAGCCAAGAGCCAGGAAATTTGCGGGGGAGAAGGGCTGCAACCCCCAGCCCGTCCTAAATGGCAGCCATGATGTTAGCTCCACCCCACGCACAACAGCTTGGCTCTGGGACAAATCATGCAGTCTTTCCTCAGGCAAAGTGCCCTTGAATTCAGCGCCACGTGTGGCAGAGCTGGCTGTGGGAAGCTCTGCGATTTGCCCTGTCCCCTGGAAATGGGAGCATCCTGGGGTTTGCGCTGCTGCTGGGCGCCCGTTCCCAGGTGCTCAGAGCATCAGGCTGCAGCGCCACACGAAGGCAAGTGGAACGTAACCTTTGACCTCCCTCTGGGCTGGTAAAACATCAGACTCCCCCAGGGCCTGGACTCGTCCATCTCCCCACATTCCCCCAGGGCTTTGCTTACTGCACAGAATCTCCCATTTCCCCAGTGACTTTCCCGCCAGACCGGTTCCAAATTACAGGCTGAGGCTGCTCAGCCCCGTTCCAAAGGAATCACTCGGGCTGGGTGCTTTGGACACTGTGTCCCGCAGGGCGGGTGTAATTGCAGGTTCACATTCTAGCTGCAGGATGCCTCCTATCTTCCCTCTCCAGGAATCCCCCTCTCCCGCCATGACCCCAGCTGTGGTAGGGGGGCTGAGCAGGGGTGGACTAGGGTTTTGTGGGGCCCGGGGCCAGCGCAAGCAGTGGCTCCCCCCCACCCCTTCTGCCTGCTATCCCCCACCCCCACTCTGCTTCTGCCAGGGAAATGGGGTCAGGGAGGAGGGTGGTGCCAGGGGGCAGGGGAGGAGCTTGCTGGAGCTCTGAGCCTGGAGCCCCTCTCCCATTGGCGCCAAGTCCGTTCCACCCATGGCCCTGCCCCCATTCTGCACTTTCCCCTGCGGTCTGCCCATCCTGAGACCGCGTATCCTTCCCGGGCCATGGCAGAAGAAGTAATTTCTGGGTGTCCCAGATCTGCCACTGCCCCCCAGCCCATGGCAGCGTAAGGTTCGGGGCCAGCCTCCCCAGCCTGTTGCGTGCTACCCTCGATTGGCACTCAGCCCTTGCTCAGGAAAACCCAGCCCCTGGCTCCAGCGAACAAAGGATGCGAGTCGCAACGGAGCTCACGCCCAGGACTTGGCCAGGGCCCCTGCTCGACTCCTGCTGGCACTGCCCAGGCCCCTGCCACTTTCATTTGATGGCCTGTGTCTGAGCCATACATTCACTTGCCGGAGGAGCCACAGCTGTGCTACAAAGCAAACATTCCAGTCCGGGGAGCGGTCTGGGGCACTCGATGGCAGCGCGAGTCGCTGATACTTTTACGGACAGGCCGCTTGCTCATTGGCCATCGCTGCTCAGCTCAAGATAGAATGACTGGCATCTGAGATAAGAAACTGCTGTGATGGGAACCAGACCCACCACCTCCCCTCACCCAGCCCCGGACCGGTTCCCCCTGCCTCAGAGAGCAGCCCCGCCTCTGCGCCCGACTCCTGTTTGCTGAAGCCTGTCACGCTTTGGGCAGTGCACTTTGCACAGCAAGCATTAGCCACCGGAGCAACTCCTGAATGTTACTGATCCCTGACGTCTCTCTCCTGGGGCTGTGCCCAGGCCAGACTCAATAGCTGGGGCGTCTCCTCCCTTCTCCCTGGCAACATGGCTCTGCCTAGTCCTCACCACCAGGAAGCTGGCACCAGAACAGCGAGAAAGAGATGTTTAGCAGTAGCAGCCGGCGCCAAAGAAAGGGGCAAATTCAGAGGAGTGGCCTGGGAGTAGGCATAATGGATCTCATACCAGGCGCACACACCATTAGGCACCCGTGTACTTCCTGATGGCTCTTTGTACTGCCCATCACCACTAAGACCAGGTTAACTTGCACAGACAGCTGCGCTTGGAGAATGTGGAGGTGTCAGAACATCTGGATACCCCCTTTCCAAGGCACAGCCGAAAAAGGCCTTCACTGGCACCGCGCATGACGACCTGAGACGCAGTCTGTCTGAGGGGCAGCGTTCTCCCTGTGCCAGCTGGGGACGCAGGGTATAGAGATGCCCCTGTAACATTGGAGCCTGAGTTGTGGTGGTGCCTCAGCTGCCTGACTTGTGTTCATCATGCATCTCCAGCACATGAGAGTCACTGCAGGGCAGGGGGCACAGCCGGACCCCACAGCTCTTTGCCTCCTCCTGCCCTTCAATGGCTGCTTGCACGGCCAGTACAGAACGTTTCCTACCATTGCCAGTCGCTCAGGGAAGCCAATAAAGGGCCAGAGAATGGGATGCCGCACTTGAACATTGACAGAGTCTCGGCTCTCACTCCACCCCGGTAGATGGTAGCATGGGAGCCTCTAGCTGGCTCCACATTCCCCATTGCGTCACGCCCGAGCCTCCTTCACAAACCTTCCTTACAAGTCTTAGGACTAGAAATATTTGTACAGTGCGAGGCCACAAGGCTGCACATGGAGAATCACAGAGCACTAGACCGGAAGGGACCTCGAGAGCCCATCGAGTCCAGTCCCCTGCCCTCCCGGCAGGACCAGCACCTGTAGAATGTTACCTGTAGCTGCCTTGGGGAGTGACTAACACCTGGGTTAGGAGGCCATGGTACCGTACCAGAGACTCACGTAATCCATGCGAATACATAACCTTGTGCTTGAATCTAGAGCAAAAGATCCCAACCCACTGTATAAATACACAGGCCAGTGTTTGAAGACTGACTCAGATCTTATCTCAGGCTAACTCTTATGACTCCCATTGGAGTTTAGCATGAACAAGGAAAGTGCAAAAATTGCAGGGCCAGTAGGAACTAGCCCTAAAACGCACAGAACCTGCTGCCCATGGTGTGCGGGGAAGCAGCTAGCCCACCTGTCCAGTGTACTGCCTCTCAGTGGGGAGAGAAAGACATTTCAGTTATGGAACCAGGGCAAATCCCTAAAGACTCCAAAAAGAGTGAAGGGCCCTTGGAGCCCCACTCAACGCAGGCAGGATCATAGCACCTGCTAAAGGCACGGATGAAGGTTCACTGCCTGGGACATGCACACAGGGATGAGTTAGCTCTGTGCTGATTTGAGCCAGAGGTTGCAGAGTGTTTGCATCTGAGGCTCAGAGTATTAACCCTGCCTCCGCAGCAGTGTGTGTGATGGGAGAGGCCTTGGCTGGCTGTGAAAACAGATGTTCCATTCAGTCGCTACAGGGATGAAAAATTAACTCGGGGGTAGCAATATCAGTCCCACCAGCACCAGCTGTTAAATATGTTCCTGCAGGCCATTGCCCCGCACTGCGAAAAGGAACCCCAGGAGGAAAAAGCCTCTGACGGAGAAAATAATGCGGCCATGATAAAGAGCTTGGGTTGGCCTGGGCGTGAACGAATCCAATGAGCTTTTTTCAAATAAATGAATAAATACATAAATAAATATTCACCTCACAGCATCAACAGAAACACCCACAGGAAGCCAGTGAAATGGCAGCTATTCCCTTCACTGCAATTTCGTGTCATCTCTTTATTTAGTTGCTCTTAGTCAGCCCTCATTTCTGACAGCTGGAAAAGGAGGCCTTAGGCGTTCCTCCTACAAAGACAGGGCAGGAGCAGGAGGTGTCAGGTAATCAGTGGATGTTCCAGAGCATCTTGGCCAAAAGCCAAAGAAAAAGGGTGCACTTTGAACTAGCCCTTGTGTTCCCCGTGACAATGCAAACGGACTCTCCTGTCCATCAGCTTGGATTCAGAACCGCCGCAGATTCCACCTGACAGGAGACCCACAAACAAATGAAGAGACTTCAGGTCCAGCCTCCAGTTTCCACCCTTTAAACAAAATCTGCCACTCAAGTTTAAAATGCCGTCAACATCTGGGCAACGGGCGGGCACGAGAGTCTCTGGGTGCAAGATTTGTTTCTAGAGGTGACTCCGAGGAAGTTCTGATCCAGATGAAGTCTAGAGCAGAGATTCTGGGCTGAGGCTCTCTCTCTAGTTTTAAAATAGGCCAACTCATCACTGTGACAGTGCCCAAGAAGTGACGAGCTAGGTATTATTAAAGTGCAAAGAGCAGCTTTCCTGGGAGCAGTGCCGTTACTAAACGCGCCCAGGCTCATGAAACACACAGCCAGACTAACACTCGTACGCATGTGGCTTGGTACCTCAGCCAGCCACCCGGTTTAGTTCAGGGAGCATGCCTGCCCCGTAGGGCACTGCTTAATGGGAGCAAGGTTGGCAGCATCTGGCCCACAGAGATGCTGTATTAACACATCAGCGTGTTTTCATCCTGTCCATGCTCCCACTGCAGCTTTAACTCCAAGTCTCTGAACAAGAGAGTGAAAAGCTTGTCACTGTCCTGGTCGGGGCCAGAGGCCTGGGGTGCAAAGGGGTTTTGTTCTAGGCAGGCTGGCTCCCTTGCTGCCAGCAGCACGTCTGTCGCTTGAAAGTCCAGAGGCTGCCATCCAGGCAGGGACAGCGCGTCTGGTAACGTCAGCTGGCCTGTGCTGTGGTCCCCGGGGCGGCTGTCCCAGGTGCAGACGGATTTCAGCAAGGGGGAGGATGAGGACGGAGTCCTGCCCTCGGAGACAGAGTTTGTGTCTGCTGTCACGGAGCAGTGCAATGGCAGCAGGCCTGCCATCTGTCCTTGGTAGTTTCCTCCGTCTGGCTGCAGAGACAAGGACTGGAGCTGGGGCTGCTTGGCTTCCCCATAGTCTGTCTGGAGCATCAGCGGCAGTGCTTGCTCCAGGGAGAACACAGATCCTCTCACCTCAGGATCGTGGCCTTCCCATAATTCTCTCGCAGCCAGGCTAGGCCTCTGCGCCTTGTAGTTCTCCTCACAGAACCTCTCCTCTGCAGGCTGGGTTTTGAGTTGGCCGCTCACGACGTCCTGCAGCGTCGGGTCTGGCTGAGAACTGATGCACATTGAGCTTTCGACGCACACTCCGTACGTCAAGGCCAGAGGCTTGTTCTTCAGTGCGCAGGGTGGATTTTCCTGGGTTCTCTGGGGCGTGTACACTGAAGGAAAACCATCCGCTCGGCTGCCTGGCTGAACGACGGGCAGAAACACCTGCTGCTGATAGCCAGTTTTTGACAAAGGGATTATAGGTGGCGGCATATCCGGGACGAACGGAACAGGTTTGGCTAAATCCTGCATGGGGCTTATGCCATGCTCCACGGTTAGCATGAGGGGCTGGAAGGCTGAAATCCCTCGCAAGTCCTGGCATGGGAGACAGACAAAGGTTAGCCGGTACCAAGGAAGCTGTGAATTTTCAATGGTTGTTTATATTACTGCAGAACCCCTTTGGGAAAGTGTGCACCAGCGCTTGTGCTCTGATTCACTGAGCAACCCATCTGGGACCCCGGGTCTTCCCGTGTTCCTTCAAAGAAGGAAACACCCCCCATCAGGCACCAGACCAGTGATGCAACCCTGTGTCCAAGGGAACAAACTCCTTGTCCCCTGGTGCACGGACTGCCCTTTGCTTAGCCCACCGAGCCAGAGACATGGGAACTGGGAGCTTCCGCACCCCTAGGGTCCTGGCCTAGCACCCGGGCTCCTGGCTGCAAGGGCTCAGCTGGGGTGGGGGTGGACAGAGGTGAGGGGGCTCAGCGCTCCATGCTAGTGAGCAACAGTCCCCACACTGTGACTAGCCCCTGAGGTGGAGGGATGGGCGTGTACGGCCCGGTTCACAGTAGCGACTGTGGATGCCTCTGCTTTTGGGTGCCAACCGGATGCGCCTTAACGGGGCTGATTTTCAGCAAGTGCTGAGCATTCTGCATCTAAAGAGCAATTCCCTCCAGGCTGTTGCTCCCAAGAAGGGGGGCCCAGAATCATTAGTCACCGTGGAAAATTATTCTGTGCAGCCTAAATCCAAGTGTTGCTTTTGGGCTTCCCAGCTTTGAAACCTGCCAGCAGATGCCCTGAGAGCCAGCCCCCCTCCGAGGGAGTAAACCAGCTTCCTGAACCTGTCAAAGAGTCTTCCGACCTGCCATCACTTGTGCCCACTCTGAAACTTGCCATCAGGGCTGGCAGGGGCAGATGACCGTTTTGCGGGGCCCCGGTCAGCATAATTCCGTGGGGCCCCCCCTTTGCCCTGGCTGGGAAGTGGGGGTGGGTGGAGGCTTGGTGCTGGGCCCCTGGAAGGGGCAAGGCCGGGGCAACCAGCCCCCCCCCCATCCCTGAGCACTGCTCACAATGGGCCGCGTGAGGCCCTGGGGGCTGTTTAAAAGGCCCAGAGCCCGGAGCCCTTTTAATTGTCTGAGCCTCAGGGCATCGGCCTTCTGTGCCCTGCCCGTCGGCGGCCCTGCTCCCCATGAAGATCTTTCCTGAGCTATACAACTATCAGCCACAGCCAGTCACACTAGGTTTCTACCTTGGGCTGGCTACGTCTTGCAACAGGAACAGTGGCCGCGAGGGGTGTGTGTTGTGCAGGGAGGCTAAGAAGGGAGAGACCAGCATGACACATCGAGAACACATGCACTCGCTGAGTCGAACAGGGGAGAGGCAGACCGGCCTCTCTCCGGATCAAAACGAAAGGGGTAAAACAACAGGGGTGATGTCACAGGGGTGTAGCCCGCCAAGTAAGGAGAGGAGGTGGATGAGGCATTTCTAGGACAACAGAACTATCCAAAACACAAGATCTGGGCAAAACTACCCTGACATCTGTTGGAAAAGTAATATGGCAAAACACAACATTTCTCAGAAGTTCTTGGACTGTAACGGGGAAAACATTTTGTTTGGGGAAAAAGAAGAAAGTAACCAGGAGGTCAGCTATGCTAGACTTGATTTGAACCAACAGGGAGAATTGGTTGAGAATCTGACCATCGTGAAAGGAGAGATTTCACGACTAAGGAGAGGAACGAGAGCAGCAAAACAAGGACAACGGACTCCAAAGCAAACTGCAAACAATATCTCAAGGGAAAAGGGAGTTCAGGAGAGCTGGCAGTTTCTCAAGGAGACCAAGTGAGAGACAGAACTACCGGCTATCCTGACGAAAAGGGGAAAATGGGAAGAATAGTAAAAGGCCAATAGGACTCCTGTAGGAGAGCTTTAATGGCTTGAACATCAAAAAGGAATCCTATTCCCCACAACAAAGAAAAGACAAACTTTCTAAACTGCTCCACAGCACAGGCTACAATAGCAACTACCTCAACCCACTGGATAATATTGTTAACCTCTCCAGCTACAAACTCAACCCAGCAGAAGGGTCTGTCTTATCTCGGCGGCTTTCTTTCTGCCCCACCTCCCCCACTAACTGGATTCAATTTTGTGGTGACCTTGAGGCTTTTATTCACTGCCTCCGCCTACGAGAATATTTCCAAACCACCAATGAACATCAGTCTGACCAACCAGATCCCCCCTATCAACACCAAAGGAAAAACAATTCTATATGGACCCCCCCCCCCCGATGGTCAGAATTACAGGCAGTCCCTGGGTTACGTACAAACGTACAAGATAGGGACTGTAGGTTTGTTCTTAAGTTGAATCTGTATGTAAGTCGGAACTGGCGTCCAGATTCAGCCGCTGTTGAAACTGACCAGCAGCTGACTTCAGGAAGCCCGAGGCAGAGCTG